CGTCGGCGCGCCCCGCCGGCTCAGGCGCCGCCGTGCTCCTCGGCCAGTCATACATGCCGGAGCCCTCGAACGCAAAGTCGTCATCATCGAGCGGCGCCTGCCGGCAGGGTCCAGGTCAGGTTCATGAGGTCAGGCTAGGCCTATCAATGGCGTTACAAGGTCAGATTAAGGGTTAAGTAAACGGAATTTAATTACTTTTTTCTCATATGTTCGATGGCGCTTAACGATTATTAATTCCCATGACGCCTTAACCCGCGCCCCACTGGGGTCTGCGTATAACACGCCCTACTGGGGGGGGGGGGCTATTCATAGCCCCCCCTCCTAACTCCGAAACTACTGGGCCGATCGTCAAAATTCAAACGGCGTCTGATAGCCCCGGAAAAACTGTCGAGCGAAACCTAATTTCATTGACCTCGAGGTCACCGATGACGTCACAGGTCAGGTCAAAGTAAAAATTATTAGCATTTTGGCTTCGTCACGTTTTGGGCTCTGGCCGCCGTCTTACAAGTCAGATCAGGCTCATTTTTGGTTCACACACTCGTGAACAGATGCTCTAGATACTCTGAGGGTACCAAACTTGTACTTTGATTTTCAGGTCAAGGTCAGGTCATCACAGGTCACGAAAATATTATATCATCCGTCGGTCACGTGACACATGTTTTATGGTCCATTTAGGCCAAACATTTCGAATTTGATGTCGTCTGTGTCATTCGAGGTCATTTTGAGTCAAATTTAGCTTAGGTCAGGTCACTTTTAGGTCAAAAAAAGGTCAAATTTTGAAGTGAAAATTTTTCAACAAAAAAGGTGTCTATTGGATGCAGTTTGAGCTCAGGAACACGATGGTGCTATTTATATTGGCGTACGATGTCAAATTCGTGCTGAAAAATTGATTTGAAAAATTAATAATTGTTAATTTTTTTGCAATAATGCGTATAACTTGGCCATTTTTGAAGATATTTAGCTAAAACTTGCTAGAGTTAGTCATAATAATGCGTTCTATCACATATATTCCGGTTTTTTTTCGAAAAGTCAAAAACTTTTTTGAAAAAATGTAAAAATATAAATTTTGAATTTTATTATGTTAAATTTTCAAAATTTTCAAAATTTTCAAAATCCGAGATAGCAGTTTGATAGCGCTGTCTATTCTGAGTCCTCTCATGCAAAGAAATTGGATGTAGCTTAAAAACTGAGCTCTTGGGAGCGATTGCCGTGGTTCAATGTTTTGCGTCGAAATCGGCCGAACATGACGTCACTCTGACGTCATTTCCGGCCGACCTATGGTAGGTACGAAGTTCAAATTTTGACACAAGGTGTCAAATTGATGCAGCCGAAGGTACTGAAAGTTTGGCGTCGATACGTCAAGCGGTTTGGAAGTTATTGCAGAAAAACGGGAGGGGGGGGGCTATAAATAGCCCCCCCCCCCGTGGGGCGCGGGTTAACAAGTGTGGCGCTACTGTAAGACTAAATTGACACAAGAACACGTTTAGGAGCTTTTAGGATTTCATATAGTTTACGTCCGGCAAAATAAAGTTTTAACAGTGGCGGGGCACGGGCATCAAAACATCTGGAATGGTACGACGCCACTGCAACGATCCTGGTAATGGCCTAGCAGAAATGGGATAGGTGCGGCGCACCCCGCCGTGACAATCCGTGCATGTAAGGGAGGACAGGGTGATGAATTACCTATTGATCGGTGACCGCAGGCAGGGGTGTTGTTTTCCGAAAATGATTGGAAGTCCCAAAGGCGACGGCCGGCCACATGTGACGGGGCTTACAAGGTAGGGTACCCCCCACCCCCCCACCCCCCAATCCGGGCGGTGTTTCACGGGCTGCTGCTACCACGCTGCTATCAAATTGCGCGAGCTGACGTCACACTTGTGGTAGTGTTGGAGCAATGGGCCTGTTGATGTCTCCATGGAAACCCAATTTGACAAGTCGTAAAATCGGCGTGCTGCTATCACCGGTGAAACAGGGCCCTGCTTTTCTCATCGGATTTCGGCCACTTGTTTTTTTCAACCTGGTCATTAACAAGACAAACCAAAATCTTAAAAAAAACTTTGGAAGTCCAGATCCTCACCGAGCCCCATGCACAAAACGCAGTTATATAGGCAATAGTGTCTGAGGAACACACGCCATTCTGAAAGAGGCCCACGCCGACTTAACCCGCGCCGTGTTGGGGGGGGGGGGTTACGCCTCCCCCTCAAGTGTTTCGCGAATATCTAAAAAAATATCTAAATATCTAAAAAAATATCTAAAAAAAGGATGCTCACTATTTGACGCTGCTGTGAGAAAGGCAAACCTTGACATGTGTTGTCACTTGTCAGTTGTCACTAGTTTCTTGAGAATAACGCTTGGTGCCTTTTCTGCAGTACCTACTATGAACCGAATCACTGTTGTCTTTTGGGTCGCGGCCATCCTATCCGGAATCCCAAACTATGTCACGATCAATTAGCAGCCCGAATCAATCACATGGCAGACTTAATGGCTACATAAGTGGACATCCCATTAACACATCATTTTACACACTGCCTTGCAGGCCGAAATTCCAACTCAGAGGGCTGTTCACGGGCCCTGTGTGCGGTCGGACCGCACACAGCCTCAAAGCTCCGCCCACTTCGTCCCTACGTCAGCCTTCCGTCACCGCACACAGCGATCGCTGTGGCCGGTCGGGACTGGCCACAGCGGACCGTCCACCGCACGCAGCCGTGACGTCAGAGCCGCCTACCCATCCCCTACCCCCACGCCTGCTGGACGCACCGCACACAGCGCACGCAGCAGTGTGCGGTGCCCGTGAACACCCCTCAGAACTCCTCCATTGTTCAGCGACACTTTTTGAACGCCCCTCATAGATTATGAGTTTGAGTTTTTGTGATCTGATGTGGTAATGATGCGGTAATTTTCAGGCAAATGTATGTGTAATGATAGGAAAGCACATAAAAAGTGATTAACCTGTTCATGTCCTAAATATTAGAAATATCATTTGGATACATATACATTATACAGGGTGATTTTTTTTAACTGTTAAAAAGTAAACGTCAATGGTGGTCCCTAAATCGAAAAATTTGGTGCAAAAAAGCAATGCACGTGATAGATAAATCTGGGACATTTTGTATGGTGTCATGATTTGTCCCTTTTAACCGAAGGCCCCGGCCCCAATGGAGCCTGAAAATGTGTCACCAATCGGGCACGCATGGTCCACCGCCGTTCAGTAAGGAACGACACAAAACGATGATTTTGAAGCATTGAGGCAGTTCGAAGCATACGATCATCAAGGAGATACCTCAGAAAGACGTTAAATAATGCACGAACAAGCTTGTAGTCATGAATAACCTTCAAACGCTCCATCTGGCGTATGTGCAGCCTCTGAAGAATCAGCCTTCAGGAGGGCTGTTCACGGGCCCTGTGTGCGGTCGGACCGCACACAGCCTCCAAGCTCCGCCCACCGCGTCCCTACGTCAGCCTTCCGTCACCGCACACAGCGATCGCTGTGGCCGGTCGGGACTGGCCACAGCGGACCGTCCACCGCACGCAGCCGTGACGTCAGAACCGCCTACCCGTCCCCTACCCCCACGCCTGCTGGACGCACCGCACACACCGCACGCAGCAGTGTGCGGTGCCCGTGAACACCCCTCTGGAGAAACAAAAACAGCGAATCAGACACCACCAGGGCCGCCAGTAGCAAAATCCTCGACCTGCCCTTTCTAGACTTCTAGTTTTTGGACCCAGGTATGGCAGATATAACTAAGAAAACATTGGAAATATCTGGCAGAGCTGAAAATGGGTGATAGGAGCCTTTTCAGTCCGCCTAATGAGCATGGGAGTACATGGTGCTGTTCAACACGTGCTCAGGCGGGCTGATTCGTGTTGGTGAGAGAGGGGGTAACTTCAAGCACAAGTAAAATACACGATGGACGTTCCTTCACATCGTGTCTGCATGAAATCAAAATGTCCCAGAATGCTCGTCATGCTGGTATATAATTTTACAATATATATTTGCATTTTAGCGCCGTTAAACCTCATTACTTTTTAACAAGTAAAAAAAAATCACCCTGTAGATCATTCTTTTCAGACCAATATCCACCCAAAATATTATCAAAAAGTTAATAAACTTTTGTTAAAATGACTTAGGCATTCGGCCATGTTTTGTTAATGCTTCAGGTATTTTTCGCCAAAATCCGACCGATGGCTTATGGCCGGCACGCGGCATGTTATTCAACTTTTGACAATAGCTATGTAAGCATGGGCTGCAATGCACCGCCCGCAAAGGGGAATTTGAAAACACTTGACGTATGAGCGTACCAGTGAGCAGCACATATTTCTTCTAGGAACAACTCAGCTGCTATTGGTTTTTCACTAAATAATTAATATCTCCTTAGGTACCTGTGCAGTTCCTGCGACGTAAGCGGCGCAGCCCAGGAAGACTATCACGGCAAGCTTTTGAAACTGCATGACCGTCTCACGCTCTTTAACACTGGAGAAAAACACTTGAATGTTCAGCTCTAGCTTCGTGCAATTATTTCAATCACATAAAAACGATATGCTGTATATCACATTCACCCCAGCGGGCACCACACGCAACACACACCCCACCCGCCGGAGCTCTCGCTAACAAATGACCGCAAGGTCGACCGAATAAGATTGCTCATTCGAGCAGCTGCGCGCGAACTTGTAGCATATTACCGTGACGTCACTGTTCATAGACTCATTGAAGAAACCCAAGAAACAAAGAACTAAACATATAGAAGTTTGCTTAAACTAACACAAAAAAGACCCGGCAACTTCCAAAGCTTGTCGTTTGGCTATTTTGTCCATTTTTAGGATAACAAAGCCGTTCTTTCCAATTTCCATGCAACGCCACTATAAACCAATGTTGAAATGCCCAAAGTCAGTACTTTTCAACTCCGGGTCCATGAGCAGATGCCAGACGGTGACGAAGCTGAGGACTGTGAAGTTGAAAGCTCGTTCCAAGCTGCTCGTTGGGGTCTTTCATGATCACGTAATGCAATAAAATATTGCTTCTTCCGTCAGATCCTTTAGCACAGTAATTTCAATGCTGGTTCTCACTCGTTATAGCACCCTTGCTTGAAACATTTTTGGCAGCATTTGAATACAACTAAAAAGGTTATTGACCCAATCCCCTCGAATATTATCAGAAAAAAGATTCGACAACTACTTCTACATGGATGAAAGGTTCACAAAGTGCTGCACACCCCAAAGTGTTATTTTCTAATCAGTTATAACTCATTTTGGCTGATTATATTTATGGAAAAATGCCACTGAATTACTTAAGTTACATTCATATTGCACATCAATCTCTATCATCATCAATCTCTATCAGACAGATCATGAGATCTCTAAGGAGGAATGGCTTGGCTAAAATAGCTGCCTTGGCTGTAGGAAGAAAGCAAGCATAGCAGTGAAATAGCGTTTTTTGGGCTGTTTTTGTCTGTTGCGCCGTAAAAGTCGAGATTGTTCTAGAGATGGAATTTGACGGACTTAAAATTATGCTCAAGTTTTTCAAGTTAATTGTCTTTTCCCTTTTAATTTCAAATAATTAATAATTAATAATTTCAAATAAAAGCGGACAGCCCAAGTCATAGAGCGTTCTAGGGAATTGCACAACGCTATGATATCACATCTCAGCACTACATAAAGTCCTTTTTCCGGTGGCTTTCGCCATTGTGGTTGGCGATCGTGCTTCGTTCCCAAATCGAAGCCAAAAGAAGCAACCATGGTAAGTTATAACGATGAACGTTCTTATTTTCTCTTTACAATTTCCTCAAGTAATGCGTTTTGGGTGCTACTGTCCTCCTGGCCTGATACGGGGAGTCCTAAATGATAATTTTCCTTGCTAGGCAAAAATGGCGCACAGCAGCTGTCCGATGTGCACTGTCAACAATAATGTGATTGGCTTAACTTTGTTGGGCATTACATGCTCATATTTGATTCAGCATTACAGGTCTTTAATGATAAATATGTGGCCAATCCATAATGTTTTGTTTTTCAATCTCTGTACGTGTCTGCTTACTGAAGAATGGTAGGTATGTAACTGGGCAGTGGGCACTAATGACCATTTCACCTCAGATAGGACGACGGTGAAAACAGGGCGCTTTGATCAAGGTTCGTGAAATTCACACTTGACGTTTAGCATCAAAAAGGCACATGCAGGGGGGAGAAGTTCCAAATGTCACATGACTAATATGCCCTCTGGCGCCCTGTTTTCACCGGCGTCCCTCAGATACCCTCAATTCTCAAATATTCATGAATGGCCTCTGGTTCAAATGACAATGATTCCTGCTTCCTTATGACCTTTTTTAGAAACAATGTATGCATTTATGACCTTTTTCTGCTGACAAAGACTGCTGCCTGCACTAGAATCTGACTTGGGTACCAGCCAGTCTGCAAAATGTGCCAGGCTTCGACGAGATCTCGTCTGGGCAGACACCACAGGTTGGGGCAGAAATAGGGGCAGGTTTCAGGAAGATTGGGGCAGAAACAGGAAGATCTGGTGCAGAAGTTAGAAAATTGACACAGAAGTGATTTTCTCAGCTTCTCACTGCTTCCTACATCATTATATCATTACATTATTTGCATTATTAGGGGCAGGAATTGGGCTGCCTCTGGACTCAGCATTCTGATTCGGGGCAGGATTTTGTCTGCCCCGAAAATCTTGTCGAGCTCCCTGCCATGTTTTGCAGACTGGGGTACCAGCACAACAAAACGTTAAAGTACCGTAAAACGGGGTGTTAAGGGACAGTTTTGAGGTGTTTTGTTATATAACTCAAGAAGGGTTTGATATAGAAGCATCAAATTGTCAGCATTTTATGTGGAATTTGGTGTTTTATATGCCTGCCACATTAAAGTTTTTAGGATTTATGCCTCAATATTATTTTTTATTATTTTTCATCACTGTCCCTTAGCACCCCAATGTGGGGTGTTAAGGGACACCTATATTATTCCAAGAAATGGTCATCAAATGTCCACAATTGGGGTGTGGAAGGGCACATAATTGATTTATTGAAATGTTTTGCATATTCTGTCACAAAACAAGTCAGGTTCATTCACCACTAATGACCTTTTTAGCCAATTACGTGTAATGCTGTTTACGCTTGTGGAAAATGTGCTAATTATAAGGTAAACAGAGCCAAAAAGTAATCTTCTGTCATCAATAAAAACCCATGTTGAAGCTAGTCACTTGTCATTATGTTGCCCTCTTTGTTTTGGCCTTTTTATGATGACATCACATTTACCTACATCAGTCTCCATTGACCCATCATTGTAAAAGAGAGTGTTGAGATGTTTTGTTACATAACTTAAGATGTGTTAGAGATAAAAGCATGAACTTGCCAGCATTTTATGTGGAATTTGGTGTTTTCCATGCCTACTGAAAGAAAACTTGATTTAATTATATTTAGATTTTATTTTTATTTTTTCTTCCCTGTCCCTTAGCACCCCACATCCACCTCAAAATATGCATGTATCCGGAAAAGAGGAAGAGGATGATGAATGAATGGGTGAATTTGCACAAGTTTTTCAGGAAACATGTGCAATACATGTGACAATACACCTATGCATTCATTTTCCCTGTACACCCACTAGTTTATGAGGTACACACAGAGTTTTGGAGATGTTTCAATTTTGTGAAAATGTAGCATGATTTTCAAATCCATTTTTGAACCAAATCACTTGCATGAAAAACCATAGCATTTTGTCCTATGGTCAAGAGCAAAACAGTGTACTCACTACACCTACTCACAACTATCCTTTTCTTCAGTAAATATAAAATAAAACATAATCTAACCTGGCCTTAAATAACTGATGTTGGCAAGTGGTATATTCTTGTTTATGATAATATTGGATATGAATATTGTTTGGAGTAGACTGTAGAGGTGACCTTTTTATACAAACTGCCTGGGGATTACTTATAGATGCCTGGAATCGTATTCTCTGTCAGATTTCATAGAAGAATACTTTAAAATGCTGAAATTTGATGTACTTACCCTGAAAATGAAATTTTATAAGTTCTTTCGTATCAGTTTTAGTAGCTGTTGTACCGGAGCTACACTAACACATGCTTTCTTAATTCACACAAAACATACTTTTTTGTATAACTTAGACCTTTGTGTGAAATTTATAATGCTGACGTGTTAAAAGTAATGACTTATTATTCCCACAACATAAATCCACACTAGTGTTCAGACCTGAACACCATATCAGTGATTGTACTGGATGACGGATGTATATGATGCGAGGAACAAGTGCAGCATAAACATATTGTTTCTTGAAATGAGACAAGTGATCTACAGTTTCTTAAAAACCTAGCCTCTTTTTACCTAGTTAAACTTACTGTTCCACAGTCTATCAGCCCGATTACAGGGTTGGGTTTCATGAGTAAGGATTTACTTTTATGTTTTATGCACATTTCTATTGAATCTTATATAAAAATACACCTCAAAAACAGTCACTACTGTCATGCAAAGGCAAAACCATGCATGATATTAAAAAATGGGTGGTGGTTTTACCCTTGCATGGTAGAGTGGGTGATAGGTATGGGTCTTTATTAGTATCTTTTTAATTACAAAGTCAAAAGTGGCTTGCAAGAGTGCAAAAAATGGGTACAAACTACAAATTAAGGACATGCATAGGATGTTTATTTATGTTCATGCTCATTAAACTGCATTTGAAGCCAGCTATTGTAGATTTCTACTAGATCAATATAAGACTCACATGATAGATTCAACCAGTTTTCCCAACAAATCTCTTTCAGCAGGCAGCTTCTCAAACCTGTATGACACCAATAGTGTATTGAATATGTGAAGACCCTTGCTAGTAGACAAGTATACTTTTTAGCTCCATTACTGTGCACTCAGTGTGCTTCTAAGATGATCATCATTGCCCATTAAAATTATGTATAGCTGGATCCATTTCGCAGCTGTTCATTTCTGTTCATTGAGGTACAAACTAAGACATGAAGGTAGGATATGTATTTTTTTTTTCTCATGAACTTGAAAACTTCATTCACTGAGAATATGATAAATTATGATGACCAGTTGTAGTGTAATGTTATTAAATAGTAACACAATAGAATGCCAACCTCTTTTCCATGTTATGCAGCTTTTAGCAACTTAATAGGTCATTTACTTCATAAGCAGCATTTTGACCTCAATTGCTTTACATTGGCAGCTCCTGTATTTTAGATACATGCATGTGCCACTTGGTTTATATGGGTAGATACAGCACACATTTGATTAAACTTTATTTTTTGATATTGCTCTCAAGTTGGTATAACATTAAACCCACGCACCGACGGGGGTCCGCGCCAACTTAGAACCGACGGGGGAGGGGCAGTTGCCGCCCCCCCCCCCCCGAGCTCCGGAGAACGAAGCAAGATATCGACAATCGGTAAACGGCATGGGGTACGCACGGACAAGGTCTACAATCTTTACTAAGGTCATTTTCAGGTCAGGTCAAAGTCGACGTCACTGGGGTAAAAAAAAATGGCGGCGCTAGAAATGTTTTTAGAAAAGTTTTCTCTCGAATAACTTTCGAAGTAGCCAAGCTAGAAACAAACTAATGGCACCATCGTGATTCTCTCGTCAATCCGCATCGAATCATATACCTATGTGTTGAGCTCGAAAAATCAAGGTCAAAGGTTGGCCTCGGGTCACGTGAACTCAGGGTCATCATGCATATCATTTGATGCGCTTTGACAAGCTGAACACAATGAGACCATCCACGCGACTGTATTTCGTTCCGGTAATAAGTTCCGGTAGCGCAAAAAGCCTTTGTTGGCCCTTCATGTCACATGACCTCACAGTTGCTCAAGAGTAAAACAGGCCTCAAGGTAGTCGAGGTTGATGATATATGAAGTCATTCATGGTATATGGGCCATTTCGACGCGTCTTAGTGAAAAAACTGGTTGATTTTACCCCCATTGACTTAAATGGAGAGGTCAAGAACTTGACCTGACCTTAGGTCATCAGTATCAAAATTCCAAGATATACAAGTTGTAGCTATCAATGACCTCATTATATCCAACAAGTTACATACGTCTACTGTAGCTCTGACATGCTGACAGTTGCAAAAAGTGATTTGAGGTTTGGTCATTCAAAGTGACCTGGTGATAAAGATTGTTCAGGACACCAGCTTTGTTTATTTTTATTGGTAGCTTTCGGAAGACATCCGCCTTCCTTCATCAGCCTGTCTAAAGCACTAAAATAGTCAATTAATTTCGCTGCGCTACGCGCCGTGGTTTTACTGCTATTCACGAAAAACCTCGGGGGGGGGGGGCTAACCGCCCCTCCCCCCGTCTGTGCGCGGGTTAAGCATGCACCTTAAGCATAGTGAAGGGAAGCGCCTCGCCATGGATGTTGCCTGATGTTGTGATGTAAGCAATTCTACATATGTCTACATTTATTACATTTTTATTTCTCAAAATTTAAAGTTAATACTCAACATAAAACTACGGAGTTTGATCAATTATATGCAGCAAAATCAGGATGGCCTTTGGGCGATATATTCAGCCGTGAAACTTCGGAATGCAACACAACAGTTTTTCTTATAGATTACAGGTCATTTAACCCGCGCCCTGCTGGGGGGGGGGGGGGGATGGTGCGGAGCGCTGCCGTTTTTGTTATAGTCGACTACAGAATGATGTTCTACTTTTCACAGGCAATTATTTGCCTGGAGTGGTAGGCTGTGCCGCATCACACGGGCTGAGTTCACAAATCATAGCTTTGTCCTAATGCTCACAATCGACACGCTTAATTGCGTGATAAACGGCAAACTTAGCGCTCCGGTCAACTGATAGCTTCTGAGGAGTGGAACATCATTCTGTAGTCGACTATACACCTTATCATACATCAATTCTACACATGTTGTGAAAATTTCAGACCAAGGTCATTCAAGGTCAGGTCACCAGGTCACTTGAAGTGACCTCATCTCATAAAAAGTTTCAACGTCTGCCATTGCTACAGTGAGTGACCGATCGCTTTGAAACTTTCAGCGATTGATAAGGGTAACAGTATCTATAAAATGTAATTATCTCAGAATTTTGCATATTTTGCATACCTCCCATTGGGAGGTCGCAAAATTGACCTGACCTTAGGTCACCGATATCAAAATCAAGTCAATGGGAAAAATTGAAATGCGCCTCTTTTGGACGAAAGACATTATAAACACCCCCAAACACTGAATTACAAGTGGTTTAAACACACTGAACATGAAAATGGTGTCCGTGACCCCTAGTTATGTTCCTGAGGTCATCTCAGGTCACGAATAGTGTCCACTTTTTCGCAAATAACTTTTGATAGAGGCATGCTAGAGCGGTGAAAACGCCTTAGATGTGTTCAGCTCGACGATACGGATCGACTGATATGCAACATGACCTTTTCCGGTCAGGTCATGACCTTGACCTGAGGTCAAATTTTCAAGTTGACCTTTCAAGGTCAAGTTATAATTCATTCGATGCGTCTTGACGAGAGGAACACGTTGCTGGTAAAAGTAAGCTCGTACAAGGCATGGGTAAAAAATTATTGCAGAAAAACTGTTTCCGAAAAAATCGACTATTTTTGCAGTTTTTGCCCATTGCAGGCAAAACCGTTGACGTTAGGTCAAATCTGAGAGAATTACTCAGAAAGGGCGTTAATAGGGCTATCGAATGCGCTTTTCCGCGGCGCTGTAGCTCTATTGGTTCCCGAGTTATGCGTTGGCTTCCTGGAAATTGTCGACATTCGACCTGAAAATCGGCGAAATTTTGCCTTCAATGACCTCTGGTGACCTGACCTTTGACCTGACCAAAAAAGTGACCGGAGTGATTTCGTCATTATTTTTGGCGCTCTTTCGAACGCCGCCTTCCGCGTATCGCTACGTGGCCCAGGAGCCGAGTTAGAAGGGGGGTGTTCAAACACCCCCCCCCCCCCCAGCAGGGCGTGGAAATCCAGGACCCCCAGCCGGGCGCGGGTTAATGGTCTTTATTGAAAAATATGATACTGGGGGCATGATGACTCCTCCATCAACACGACCTCCCCCCCCCCCAAAGTAACATTGATGCTCGTGATTGAAATTCTGATGTTGCTGGCTGGAATTCCTATGCGTATGATCACCGCTCATTTACTCCGAAATTAAATTTCACTTGGCAAGAATACAGAAGATCGCTCAGAATAAGAGTTCCACATCATCACACTTTGTTTTCTTTCAGGTGAACTTCACCGTAGCCGAGATCCGTAACCTTATGGATCTCAAGAAGAACATCCGAAACATGTCTGTGATCGCGCACGTCGATCACGGCAAGTCGACGCTGACCGACTCGCTGGTGGCCAAGGCCGGTATTGTGGCTGCTGCCAAGGCCGGCGAGACCCGATTCACCGACACCCGTAAGGACGAGCAGGACCGCTGCATCACCATCAAGTCGACGGCCATCTCGCTCTTCTTCAACCTGGAGCCCAAGGATGTCCCGTTCATCAAGGGAGAGAACCAGAAGGAGAAGGACAACGACGGCTTCCTGATCAACCTGATCGACTCACCGGGTCACGTGGACTTCTCGTCTGAGGTGACGGCCGCGCTGCGCGTCACGGACGGCGCCCTTGTCGTCGTCGACTGCGTCTCCGGTGAGTGGTGTGGAAACGCTGGTCGCGGTGCCGAGTGTACGTGTGTGTGTTTACATTTTGCTGAGTGATTGGTTCACTGGCGAATTATTGCCCCTAAGAGTGTGGGTTTAGGTTTGTTTTGGTGTGGGGGGGGGGGGGGTCGTCAGTTTTTCACTTTTGACTTTTCTCCCAAGTTTCGACTTGGCCTTGCCCTTATTGGCGTTTTCACAGCTACGTCTTGTGCGTGTGTGTGTGTGGGGGGGGGGTCGATCCCCTCCCTGTCGTTCGGCCCCTTATCAAGCTAGAGCTTCGCGAAGGAACGGTCGGTCTTACACGTGACGAGAGAAAGTCGATGATACCCAACTTTAAGGTCCTAGGTCATAAGTTGACCTTCGAGGCCAGGTCAGTGACCGAAATGTCGCGGAAATCGGCACTTGCTGGGCTAGAGCGTCCTGAAGCAATAGTTTGAAAAGGATTTCCCGGGTGCTGAGCGACAAAATCTGTGTTGAAATTGCAACAAAATTAAGATAAAAAACGAATGATCCGAAGTTATTGTCAGCAGGTGTAAAGCACGACTTTGAGCTACGTTCAAATGGGTGGTAGATTCGAAATCTGCTCCAAAAAGTATCCCTACAGCTGGATTGTCAAAAGTCGATTGAGCTCATCTAAGGTCAAAAACCTCGACCTGACCTTTCGAGTGACCTTGACACCCACCGTGATGCATGTGACAAATCATTTCGCAGGTTGGCACGTTTCTAATCAGAAGTGTAAAAACGCGCGGACACTGCGCTGACATGCGTCGACTTGCTTTTCTGGCCTGACATGGCCTCGGGAAACAGGTCACTGACGTTCTTTAATATGCTGAAACCTGTTACCTGTGGGTTCTCTATTGATTTATTCTATTCTTTTGACCTGTGGTTAAGTCCTTTCATGGTAATCACAGTGAATTCCACTAGAATGGATGTGAAGTGAAACAAATGTTAGATCGGTGATTTACAGTACATGCATTTTAGTAACAGTAGAAAGTTTCCCTAAAAATTATGTGCCTAAGTTCTTGTGAGGTCTATTTCATAACCACACCGAAACAAAATATTGACTGATGTGTAGTTGAGATTTGCTATGTTTTTAAATGATACTGTAGCTTCATTAGGTTAAGTATCGGCTGATTTTTTTTTTTTTTTTGTAAAAAATGGGAGCATTGTACCCTCGTTGATCAGGTGATCTGGCGTTCGGTCTGTTAGAATAAAACGAGCACTAGCTCATTTTTTGACATCCTTTTGTCTCTATTTGGCAGGTGTGTGTGTCCAGACCGAGACCGTGCTGCGTCAAGCCATCGCCGAGCGCATCAAGCCGGTTCTGTTCATGAACAAGATGGACCGTGCTCTTCTGGAGCTGCAGCTCGAGCAGGAGGACCTTTACCAGACTTTCCAGCGTATCGTCGAGAGCGTGAACGTCATCATCGCTACCTACTCTGACGAGGACGGCCCCATGGGCAACATCCAGGTGCACCCGGCCAACGGCTCCGTGGGCTTCGGCTCCGGTCTCCACGGCTGGGCGTTCACCCTCAAACAGTTCGCCGAGATGTATGCGGACAAATTCAAGATCGACCCAATCAAGCTCATGCCTAAGCTGTGGGGTAAGTAGTGCGGGCGAGTTGTTACACTGCGGTCTTATCACTTGCCATTGCTGTTCCACTCTCATAAACAATAAATATAAATTTGCCTTTGGTAGCATGCCTTTAAATGGGTAAAAGGGACATTGAAGTGTGTACGTATTTTAATGCTTCCATGCTTGCTCTCTTCCAGGTGACAACTTCTTCAACATGAAGTCCAAGAAGTGGCAGAAGAGCAAGGAGGCCGACAACGTGCGCTCGTTCAACCAGTTCGTGCTGGATCCGGTCTACAAGGTGTTTGACGCCGTCATGAACTTCAAGAAGGATGAGACCGAAAAGCTGCTCACCGCGCTCAAGATCACGCTCAAGGGCGAAGACAAGGAGAAGGAGGGCAAGCAGCTGATGAAGGTGGTGATGCGCACCTGGCTGCCGGCCGGCAACACCCTGCTGCAGATGATCGCCATCCACCTGCCTTCCCCGGTGACCGCCCAGTTCTACCGCATGGAGATGCTGTACGAGGGACCGCCCGACGATGAGGCGGCGCGCGCCATCAAGGCCTGCAACCCCGAGGGACCGCTCATGATGTACGTGTCCAAGATGGTGCCCACCTCGGACAAGGGACGCTTCTACGCGTTCGGCCGTGTGTTCGCCGGCAAGATCGCTTCGGGACTGAAGTGCAAGATCATGGGACCGAACTATGTGCCTGGCAAGAAGGAAGACACCACCGAGAAGACCATCCAGCGCACGATCCTGATGATGGGACGCTACACGGAGGCCATCGAGGACGTGCCGTGCGGCAACATCTGCGGTCTGGTCGGCGTCGATCAGTTCCTCGTCAAGACCGGCACTCTGACCACCTTCCGCGAGGCGCACAACATGAAGGTGATGAAGTTCTCCGTGTCTCCCGTCGTGCGTGTCGCCGTGGAGGCCAAGAACCCGTCCGACCTGCCCAAGCTGGTGGAGGGTCTGAAGCGTCTCGCCAAGTCCGACCCCATGGTGCAGTGTATCATCGAGGAGTCTGGCGAGCACATCATCGCCGGCGCCGGTGAGCTGCATCTGGAGATCTGCCTCAAAGATCTGGAGGAGGACCACGCTTGCATCCCGCTCAAGAAGTCCGACCCGGTGGTGTCCTACCGTGAGACTGTGAGCGACGAGAGCAGCGAGATGTGCCTCTCCAAGTCGCCCAACAAGCACAACCGCCTGTTCATGAAGGCCGTGCCGATGCCGGATGGTCTGCCCGAGGATATCGACGACAACGAGATCTCGCCTCGTCAGGACTTCAAGATTCGTGGCCGCATGCTGGCTGACAAGTACGACTACGACATCACTGAGGCCAGGAAGATCTGGTGCTTCGGCCCCGACGGCAACGGACCCAACATCCTGGTGGACTGCACCAAGGGAGTGCAGTACCTGAACGAGATCAAGGACTCTGTCGTGGCCGGCTTCCAGTGGGCCACCAAGGAGGGCGTGCTCTGCGAGGAGAACATGCGCGGCATCCGCTTCAACATCCACGACGTGACGCTGCACGCTGACGCCATCCACCGCGGCGGCGGCCAGATCATCCCGACGGCTCGCCGTGTCCTCTACGCCTCGCAGCTGATGGCCTCGCCTCGTCTGCTGGAGCCCGTCTACCTGTGCGAGATCCAGTGTCCGGAGGCGGCCGTCGGTGGCATCTACGGCGTGCTCAACCGCCGGCGTGGTATCGTGGTCGAGGAGATGCAGGTGCCCGGCACGCCCATGTTCCAGGTCAAGGCGCATCTGCCGGTCAACGAGTCGTTCGGCTTCACGGCCGACCTGCGCTCCAACACCGGCGGCCAGGCGTTCCCGCAGTGCGTGTTCGACCACTGGCAGATCCTGCCCGGCGACCCGATGGACGCCGGCTCGAAGCCCTCTGTGGTTGTGTCGGTAAGTAACTGCGGCCGGCTGGGACTAGACTGGATGGGGGGGGGGGGGGCGGTAGCTGCAATAACAATCGTCAGCTTCTGTGGTCCATTTATGTGCTGCGTGAAGTGCGAATCTTGGCGCTTCTCGTCCGTTAGAATCTGTTTTGTAGGCCTGTTTGTGGTGTGGTTGTTTTGCCATGGTTACTGTGGGACACGGACTGTCAGATCGTTGGCTTTAACCATGCTAATCATTTGTTCCTTTTCTTGCCCACAGGATACGAGGAAACGGAAGGGACTCAAGGAGGGCATACCCGATATCTCCAACTACTTCGACAAGTTGTAAGCGCACCACCAGGACCGGTCGAACGTTAGGCCTTTGCTTCATATTAAAATATTTTATTATGAACCAGCTTGTATATTGTTTTACACGCATCTGCGGCGGCGAGTGGTGGTTGCGTACTGAACTGACGGTCTGGGCCGGAACACCCGGCAACACCTCCTCGACTCCTGAACGGTGGTAATAAACGGAACATTTTCCTCGGGGAGCGCAGCGTTTTCGGAGAGCGGGAGGGGTAGAGAGGGGACGCCCCACAGCTGGCGTCAATAGCGTCTGTGAACGGAGCCGGTCGATTACGGCGGGTGACCGCACCTGTGCGGGGATGGCCGCGGGGAAAGCTAGGATTGCGACTTGGTCGTCCGCCGCACACACGATTCAGCACGGCTACTGAACGGGAGGACCGGGGATGCTTGCTTGGTCGAATTTGCTCAGGGAACATTACGACATTCTATAGCTGAAATTGAAGAGGCGGTAAATGGCACTGCATCGGGGGCTTAACGATGCCGATCTCAGCTATGGAACGGTGGGACGGAGGGAGAGGGGTGTTGCATCACCTGTCGACACCGGTTTCGACCGGAAATTGGCTGACGGCAGCGCAACAGCGGAATGGGGAGGCCAGGCTCAGGGTACACTGCCAGCCCCAGCGGCGTCGAGATGTCTGGTGCAATAAACACTTAGAAGAAGCCACGGACGGTAAAAATGAATGGGGACGGGGGATGAGAATCGAACGCGGTATTCCGGGTGGGGTAGCCGCTGCCGGTAGTTCGCTCTCCCCGGGGCCCTCCTTAGCCCGCGCCGGGCCGGTGCTCTGAGATTCGGCGCCGGGCCGGGGGGGGGGGGGTGTCTGAACACCCCCCCCCCTTCTAACTCGGCTCCTGGGCCACGTAGCGACACGCAGTAAGCGGCAATCGAAAGAACGTCCAAAATAAGGACGAAAACACTTCAGTCATTTTTTCGGTCAGGTCAAAGGTCAGGTCACCAGAGGTCACCAAAGGTCAAATGTCTACTATTTCAACATTTTGGAAACTGCCAACGGCTATCTCGGGAACCGATAGAGCTACAGCGCCGCGGAAAAGCGCATTCGATAGCCCTTTTACAGACCTTTCTGAGTAATGTTCTCAGATTTGACCTTAGGTCAACGGTTTAGCCTCCAGAGGGCAAAAACTCCAAAAATAGCCGTTTTTACGAAAAACGTTATTTCGGCAATAACTTTTGACTCAAAAGAGTCATGACATTACTGTTGCCACCATCGTGTTCCTCTCGTCGAGACGCGTCGAATGAACTATAATTTGACCTTGAAAGGTCAACTTGAAAATTTGACCTCAGGTCAAGGTCATGACCTGACCGGAAAAGGTCATGTTGCATATCAGTCGATCCGCAACGTCGAGCCGAACACACCTAAGGCGTTTCGCTCTAGCACGTCTCTATCAGAAGTTATTAGCGAAAAACTGTTAGATTCTGTTCGTGACCTGAGATGACCTCGGGGACATAACGAGGGGTCACAGTTGCCATTTTCCGGTTCAGTGTGTCCATTTTACCTACATCTCGATGTTTGAGAGTGTCTAGAATAGCGTTCGTGCAAAACAGACGCTTTTCAATTTTCTCCCATTGACTTATAATGGAGAGGTCGCAAAATTGACCTGACCTTAGGTCACCGATATCAAAATTCCGAGATCTACATTTTATAGATAATGTTGCTCTTATCAATCGCTGAAAGTTTCAAGGCAATCGATCGATCGGTGTAGCTATGACGAGCATTCTTATTTTTCTGAGGTGAGGTCACTTGACGTGACCTAGTGACCTGACCTAAGGTGACCTGGGTCTGAAATTTTCACATGTGCGGAAAAGATGCACGAACAGGTGTGCCAAAAACGGCGGCGCGGAGCGCCGCCGTTTTTGAGATATCTGCGAAAAACCGCAGGGGGGGGGGGGTGTTCAAACACCCCCCCCCCCCCGGCCTGGCGCGGGTTAGTCATTAGACTAGTGAAGTTTGGCTCAATGACCAAAACAGACTTGCAAGCCCGTTTTTGGCAACGGGTTTGTGCGCTTATTAGATTGAAAACTGATAAAATCACCTTTGTCTCCGCATGTTTTATTTTAGGTAAAAACGCACTAATATATTGCACGACTCGGACCCCAAACAACAACCAAGTTCCTACCATACAACAAACGCGCTCTAGGAAGTGCATTTGTTTCCACTCGAGTTCGGTTGCAAAATTACGTGTAGTCCTCATGATCGACAACGCATTCAGAACCGATTCTCCCGAGCTTATGAGGCAAAAGATACTGATAAAAAGGCTAAGAAAGATACTGTTAAAAAGGAAAAAAGATGTCAAACTCAGCACCGCTGGCACTCACCCAGTACCTACTACCTATAAGTAGTAACACTGAATCTGAGCACGTCCTAAAACATGGGGTACAAACAACGCGGAACGCCATCATGGCGTTCATTTAGAACGCTTCACGAACTGAGCATAAACCGGGGTCTACATAACAGGTACCTGGTACACGGCATATGACATCTGAGGCATACATAATATTGACAAATATACAAATACAAGGTCTAAAATAGCACCACACAATATGATATAGCATATCATATTCGGCACAAACTCATATTCAGCAGCGAGCGCAGGCGCCTTTCATCACTGAGCACCACTGGAGCAGCACACAGAGCCGGAACGATCCTGGCTGGGAGGACATCAGCTACCGACCCAGTACTTCTCTGGCGTGCCGGCCGAGTCGCGGTCGGCCGGGTAGGCCGGTCCGACATGGCCGTACGGCAGCCGAACGGTGCAGTGCGACGACCGTCCCATGACGGTGCGGTGCCACCGGCCGCCCGGCGTCTCCGCCTGTGCCAGCGTCATCGGCAGGCGGAGCGGCGCCGGTTCGGCCAGCGGGTCGGCCGCCGGATCGCCCTCGGCCGGATACAGCTCGTCCCCTGGCGGCGGGACGCGGCCACGGTCACAGAGGTCACGCACACACTCAGTAGGCGAGGGTGCGGAGGGGAACGGAGTCGAAACGGGGTCCGGATGGTAAATACCGCGCTCAGCCATGGTATTCAGACGCATTGATTCGCATAACAGTGGATCTTAGCGATAGTTGTAACGCAAGCGGATTGGAACAAATTTATCGAACAGCATTCACGGCTAGCGCGCCCACTAGCAGATTCATTTGATACCAGCAGACTAACTGGAAATTAAAAGGCAGGCTGACTCAGATGTTCATCTGACAAACCCTAGTTCGGCAAATTTGCAAAGTCATCAGAGAGCTCGGGGCATATCAACAGTCACAAGCACCAGAAAGCACGCGAACTCGCTAGTCACTGATTCAAACGTCAGCATGATTAGCAGATTCGCCAGTCAGGTGACTCGTGACAGCTGGTTCAGCGGATAGTAGTCGGCCAAGTGACTGGCCTACATACAGACCAAGCGGATCACAAACGGACTCGTCTAAGTGGCGAGCCGGCTCTGCCGTGACCCGGCCGCCCGGCTCGCCCCGCCCCTGCCGTGACCCGCCCGGCTCGCCCCGTCTCACTGACCGGGCAGCAGTCCCAGCCGGTGGCCGTCGCTGAGCAGCGCCACCACGGGCAGCATGCGCTGAATGCCGAGCGGCGCCCGCCGTCGGCTGAACCGCTCCAGCGCCGACCAGCTGCCGAACCGCTGCAGCCGACTCAGCTCGTACAGCTGCGGCGGCATCAGGGTGGTGGCGCCGGCGGCGTGGTCGGCCAGCACCGCCGCCGGCCGCCGCCACTGCCGCCCGAGCCCCCGGTCAGTGAGGGGTCCGCACAACACAGGTCACCAGAGTGAACACACGAAACAAACTAGAAGACCAAAAGAACAAAGAATACGGATAAAAAACACGCGAAATGCAGACAAACCAAATGGAAAGCTGAAAATGAAAAGCTCTGAATGCTGCGCTGAATGCGTATTTACTTCGTGATAAGCATATAGTCGAGAGGAATTGAAAAAGCAATGACTAGGATAAATAGAATTACGCTAGGCTTTCTGAATGATAGTTGATTCAATCACGTGTCTTGCGCGGTGTTAACGAGATTCAAACGATAAAATAGCACGTAGTGCTTCGTCAGGAACCCGCCACTACATCTATCGGTCCCGTCCCGGGCACCCACCTCCACGTGTTGAGTCTCGGTCTGGTCCTCGCAGCAGGGCGGCCGCTCGGGCACACTGGCCACGAAGAAGGCCGCGTCGTGACGGTGGCCCGGGACGGCCACCGGGGTCAGCCAGGCGCTCCACTCGTGCAGGCTCCAGACGTCCGGCGCCACGGCCAGCTCGCGCGCCAGGCGCAGCAGCTCGGCGGGCCGCCGCTGCACGCGCGGCCGCCACCGCTCCGCCTCTGCCACGGGCAGCGGCGCCGGCCGGCCGCCGGCCGCCGGACGGGTCAGCAGCACGCCCGTCTCTTCGAACGTCTCTCGCAGCGCGGCCAGCCGGAAGCCGATCTCGGCGGGCAGCTCGTCGCCCACCGGCGGCCGCTCGACGAAGGTGGCCGGCCGCGGAGCGCTGAGCAGCAGCGGCTCCAGCGGCAGCGCCGTCAGCAGCGGCCGCCAGGCGGCGCTGAAGTCGCTGTCGTCTAATATACCACCTGCCGGCGAGTGCTGCTATCAGCGGCTGTGGGGGGCGAGCTCTACCAGGACAAACTCTGCCTGCAGCAGCGTCTCCGTTTTTACCCCCCCCCCCCCCCCCTCCCCTATCAGCGAATGATACCCTCAGAGGAAAGTGCTGCTTCCAGTGGCACCCGCCACAACCCTTTTAGACAGGGTTTACCAGGCGTGAAACATTTCTATCTTTACGCAATGGTTTGCAAACATTCTTCTTGGGGTATCTCCGGAGGACCGTCATCATCGCCGTGGCACTCACCAGGAAAGACCTCCACGTCGGGTAGGTGCCGGCTCTTGCCGCTGCGGCGCACCATGAGCAGGGCCAGCTCGTCACCAGCACCCCGGCCCGACAATACCAGCGTGGCCGCCCGGCGCCACGCCGTGCCCGCCATCTGCCGGCGAAATCAACAAACAGAGATCAGTGCAGCTCCCACCAAATATCTACAACCCATCTACAACAGCAGTCACCACAGCAGTTGGCAATCTGCCAACCACAGGACACAAATACAAGAACCACTAAGAACTAGTGTTGGTTTTCCAATTGCGAGGACTTACGTGAGATAACCTGACCTGAGGGCTGTTCACGGGCCCTGTGTGCGGTCGGACCGCACACAGCCTCGAAGCTCCGCCCACTTCGTCCCTACGTCAGCCTTCCGTCACCGCACACAGCGATCGCTGTGGCCGGTCGGGACTGGCCACAGCGGACCGTCCACCGCACGCAGCCGTGACGTCAGAGCCGCCTACCCATCCCCTACCCCCACGCCTGCTGGACGCACCGCACACAGCGCACGCAGCAGTGTGCGGTGCCCGTGAACACCCCTCCGGCCAGTCCGGCCTTATCTACCCTAACTCAGCTTAGTTTAACCCAACCCAAACCCTGACCTAGCATAATCCATGGATTAGAAACAATCACTTATCCATGCCTAAGCTAACCTAAGCTAACCTAACTAACCTTACATTAAGCCCTACATCTACTTAACACCTAGGTACCCCTGGCAGTCAGACTGAGTTAGGAGAAAGGACAGATTAATCAATCTGTCTTAACTCCTACTTCCCATCTGAACCATCTTCCTTCATGGATTATTATAGTTGCTACAGAAATAAGCATCATTTTTAGATTAAGGACATGGAAAAACAAAAATGAGCAGAAATTTTCCTTCAAAACCAGTGCAGATCCCAGCTTTAGTAATACCACATTTTAATTACTGCATTTTTATAATATAAATTCTGGTAAGCCAAAGCCAGCACAATTCCTCAGTGCCCTAGTGAATAAGACATATGTCTCATAACCAGTGACAGCAAGTTTGCGACCAAAGAAGTTCACATTGACTGCCGTTCAAACCAGTCACTGTATCCAGCCCGCTCAAGCTGGCAGCTGGCGAGAGGGCCATCTACCTGCGGGCTGCGGTACCTACCTATATTTAACTTTTGATTCAGATCAAGATCATCACCAGTGAACTGGGCGCAGGACAGGTCAGTTGGTGGGTTCATGGTTGGTGGGTTCATGGACCGGCAAGACGTGCACTGCCGACTGCACCCTGACCCACAGCCATTCAGCCACTGATTCAGACCAGATTTCCTTAAAAAATGGCATCTTACCAAATACAAAAACTTTATATAATGATGACAAATACCATAGTTATACAACCCTCAATCGTTATAGCAAAAAATGGTGTTAGGTTTACTGGTTTATATAGCCATAGCTTGGCCATGACCTTGGTTTAACTCGTAGAAATAAAGCTTTTACTTGTTGTTGGCATGGCGGTCCTCAAAAGTCACACTTTGAATTTGACATCAATTAAGTCTTAGCCTATTGGATATCCAAGTCCAGCCTGACTTCTGTGCCTGAGCCATTGCTCATACTCACTTCTCAGAAATAAAATGTTAGACAAATTGACAAAAAATGGCTAGGAACGAAACAAAAAATATAAGAACTACAGGGTGGGCCAAAAAAAGTGTGTCACTTTTCAGCAGTAATTTCTCGAAAGTGGTAAGAGATACGAAAAAGAAACCTTCACAACTTAAAGAAAATCGTTTGACAAATTATATGATATCAATTTTATGGAAAAGTTTTAATCGAACTGACGTTGCCATCATCATTTCAAAAATGGGATCTGTGCATCTCTTTATTTGCGCATGTGCTCGAAGTGGGCACCGCCAAGCTGAAGGCCATCTGAACGCGCTCCAGGAAGCTGACGCTCACCCTCTCCGCGGTGTCTGCTGGCACTTCACGCACGTACCATGATCGACGCTGACACGCAGCTCCTCCAGGCTACCGGCTTGTTGCGATAGACGCTGTCCTTGCAGGCTCCCCAAAACCAGTAGTCCAGCGGGTTGAGGTCAGGACTGTGAGGAGCCCACCGCTTTTCGCTTCCCTTGGAGACACGGTACATATACCGGGGTTACATGAGCAAGTAAATGCGTATCAGGAACGGATTTTCCTATTCGCTCACCATTGTAGTCCGTTTGTAATGCGTATTAACTCTGCTCATGTAACCCCGAGCATAGAATACTAGGTAACACCGGTTTGTCCGCTCAACACAGGGCCAATGGTCACCACTTTCTTCAGCTGACGTCTGTGACCTTGAGCTGACCTAGGATGATAAACAGCTGACAATTTAGGCCATTTGGAGCTCACTTGACAGCTGAAGAGCGTGATTTAAAATATAAATATTTGTCAGGCACTGACAAAAGATATTATTCACCAGTCATTTTTTAAGCACATTCTGTCATAAATTAGTTGACTCCCTCTGGTCTTCCACACGGCAGAAAACGCAAGTGCAAATTCTGCCGTCTTGAAGTGAGCCAAACGCTTATGATACACATGATCGTTTCTCTCAAATCACAACGGAAACTGCGAGAAAACAAGAGAGAGTCGGACTCTACAAATGAATGAATTTGGAAGAAAAATAGCTGTATTTTTTCCTGTGGAAATTCTGACTTTGAAAACATTGGCCATCAACTTTAAAATTGCCCCCAAATATGAAAATGTGTGAATTGACAAAACAGGCAATCTTGCTGTTTTTGCCCAAGTTTGTTCATGATTGAGAGAGATTCGATGCGAAAATGCACTGATATATACTTTTGGAAGCGAGGTCTCGATCAGTGTATTAATTTTGATTTTTAACTTAACGCTAGTCCCACTTTTCCCTCCAAGAAAATATATTTGTCAATTTTTCAATAATCATATTATGCGTCATTACTTTAAAAATTAAAGAGAGTCGGACCGTAATTCTTTCAAAATGACTGATCGTGCTCAATATCTATCGGAATATATCAACAGATTGGCCAGACTCATTGGCTAAATATGTTTAAATTGCATTTTTCTTACTTTCTGCAGAATTTCCTGCAAAATTTTACTGTAGTTTAAGCTGCGTTTCATGCAGATTGTGTTCACAGACCAATGGGAGACAAGTATTTCTTCATCAACAGGTTTATTCGCCATCAATTGGTATAGCTGGTGTTTTTCGTATGCGCAGCTTATGTCACAGCTGCGTAAGAACACGTTCGCTTTTAATCATTATGGGTATTTCTTTTCGGAATATCAAAGGTCAATGTTGATGTGTTTCATAAGATTTGTGGTGGCGGGATTATCGTCATTAACTAATTACTTGATATCAGATTTTAATGGGGAGTGGTGTAATTCCCGCACGACTGTTGACTTTTATTGTAATTGCCTGAGCTGGTTCCTTGGCCGCCTCAGATAGCAGGATGGTGTGTCAAGTATCAACTTGACAGGAAGGTGGGTACCCAGACACTGAAATTTCTGTGTAATTTGCGCCAAAAATTAGGTACCTATTTGTGCAAAAATTAAACCCTTTTTATATAAAGCACATGTGCACATCTACCGATCAAGGCTATATCAAGGCTATGGCGTCTGCCGCCATGCGCCGAATTCGGCGCATGCGAAGTTACCTACGCCGGACATGCGCCGAAATTTTCGGCGCAATCCCGCCACTATGCCAGACATATAAGGCATAACGTGTATTATTTCCAGTCTGGTACAAAACAAAAATCAAACCTTACCTAACCCCATGTTGCATGTTCATATGAACTGTAGATCATATGTTTTTTTGAAAAAATACCCATCTTTCATCCTTTCAGCATACCTACAACCTACTAAACAGCCTTGGTATCAACCTAGCATTCATACTTTATCTGCACATACATATTGATATATGTGGTATGTTTTGTCCAGTAGGTTATATGTGGTAGGTGAGCCGTCAGGTGCCTACATGCTATCATTTGTCATGCTTTGATTTCAGATGGTGTCTTGTGGGCTTTATAGTGGGCTTTGTGGCCCTCGTGCAAGGGTTAAGTGTTGATGCACATAATGCAATGTGTTTTTTCCATGGGCGCAGGAACCTCACGTAAAGTTTGGGGGGGGCAGAGAACTTCAATGTCACTTTGTGGGAACCGTAATACCCCTATGAACAAATTCCTTGCAGTTTCGTGCTCATCTCACCTTGCCGAACCATTTCTTGCTCTTAGTTTTGAATTTAAATGAAAAATAAATATTTTACTTTAAAAATTAGCATAGCTGAAAAGTGGGGGCATGCCCCCCCCCCCTCCGCTCCTACGCCTATGGTTTTTCTTAATGGTACAAATCATCCACATTCATATGTGAAGGGTAGGTAGCTACCTACAGAACCAAATCAATGCCTCAATTGCTCATTGTTTTCTTACAATAAGTCCCTCCTCTGCCAATCGCACTTAAGTATCTACTGTCACAATGCAGTGTGCGTCATGATTTCTCAATTCTATGCTTACAATATATTTCCATTTGTCAATCACATATTGTTTTTTTTTTTACAGGCTTTCCGGTTATGACTGAGGCCGGCATCTCACCTGTCCTGGCTACGCCAAATCACTGCGGATGCCGGATGCCGAGGACCGGAGAGCCAACCGCTTTGAGGCGTGAGCTCTGTGGCGTGGCTCGAGTGACGGCTACGGCGCCGTCGACCTGGTTGAATAGCTGGGGCCTGGACGAGGGTGCCCTTAGTACGGTGGCCAATCGGTTACGTCCGAGGGGCGCTCGAACACGCTGCCGTCGCGTGGCTGCCGGCGGCCGCCCACTCGCACGTGAATCTTCTGGAGCGAGGACTGCGAGAGGCGGCCGCATCATCACCTGTGTCCGCGCTCAACACCGTGCCACGCACTAATGGCGGAAGCCCGACTTTCTCCGATGGAGGAGAGAAGCTGGACGCTGGCTGCCAGGCTGCTGGGGAGGGCGCTGGCTCTGCCATCAGGGGACCCCCTGCGCGCGACCGCCAAGGCCTCGGCACCGGCGCGCCTGTCTTCGGTCCGAGGCTGGAGATTGCGAGGCCGCCAGGCCTGGGCGAGAGCGAGAATCCCACCGTGTCAACAGACGGCTGGCGTCACCTTCCGGTTGGACGTGTGCCCGATCCGGGCTGGGGCCACGGCGGCGGAAAGGGAAAGCGTGGCTACGCTGCACCTCGCGTTCCTGCCCCTGTGTGCTGTCCGGCTTTGGACGGACGGATCTGCGGAGGGCGGAGTCTTCAGGTGCTGGGCGGGAGCCGTGCTGGTCTGGCTGTATTTGTATTTGTATTTGTATTTACATTTAAGAGCGATCCACATACAAAGTGCGTGGCGATTACTGCTCAGAATCCGTATCCGCGGCTGCTGATCTAATCATTCAAAACATTTGCACATTCACGAGGGTGCCCTTAGTACGGTGGCCAATCGGTTACGTCCGAGGGGCGCTCGAACACGCTGCCGTCGCGTGGCTGCCGGCGGCCGCCCCGCGAACAAGGACAAGGCTGGACGAAGAGGCCGAGGAACTGCGGGCCCCGGCCGGAGAGCTGTGCTTTAGCTACCGCGCGGAGATGGTGGCGCTGGTGACCGGTCCGGAGACCCTACTCGGAAGAGTCAGAGACCAGGACCTGCGTTCCGTACCTATCTGCTAACTGTGCGGTGGTGCTGGTGTAGTGCAGCATTTTTGGATGGATAGCTACATTTCACGATTAAATAGCTGTTACGTTTCAGTGCAGGTGGCGTGACGAATAATGTGGTAGTTATCTGTTGGCCACTTCTGCGGCCGCTGCTATTTCCTACTCGAAGGCGGGCGCGCTGTTTGGCTGGGCCGCCAGGATGTTCCCATTATGTGTCGACGACAAAGCGAGTGTATTCGTGTTCTTTTAATGCACAGAGGTCTGTTGTTGTATATTTGAAGTTTTATTTTAAGTTGACGATTGCGAAGGGCAGATTCATCTTCTCTCTTTCATTTGTGTTGCCACTTTATCGTTCAGGTTTGTTATAAGTGTCCATGCGGCTTGGTTGTCATCTTTATTCCTGATGTATTTTATTTTACGAACATGCTGGCGATCAATGCAATACACTTTTGGTTAATAATGCTGCTTTAGCTCTGATCCTTTGTGGTATGTCTTGACTGTACTACTGCGATAGCGATTTTTCCTCACCAAAATATGCAGGCAACCAATGTAAATGCTGCCAAAAGTTTGTCATTACGTGATGTATCTAAAAAACATCGAGTTCCTGAACGTGGTCGTGTACTACGTAACCGGAAACTCAATAGGACGCAGAATTCTGTGAAGCACAAGCAAAACTACAGAAGTGAGGCTGGCCACGCCAAAATCAAGTGAGATATGTCTAGCCTTTCTTCAGCCGCCAAGGCTTCGATAGACTATCCCCGGGTTCGGTGTCTCTCGAACTACGAAGATTTAACGTCGTCCGGCCAATCCTGGTTAAGGTCAGCGGGGATTTAGCTGTGGTTATGGAACAGGATTGGCCGTCCGAGAGACTCCGAACCTGGGGTATGTTGCAGCACAGCTATGTCGACCGAGTGTCGTCGCAAGCTGCACCACTAGACGAGAACAAATAAAACCGTCCCGTCCTAGGCTGACTAGGCTTAGCTAGGTGGCAGCACAGTCGCGCCGGCAGGGGGCAGTGCCACAACCAGCCGACTGATATTTTCGTGTGACGTCAGAACCGGTGCCTCCCTGCTTGGAGATAACGCGGCAACCGAAGAGCTCTTGGAGCAGTTGCAGTGTCTCTCGGGCCGTGTGCGGTGGCGCTACATCTTGCATGAACAAAGCTTGTAGCGTGATCACCAAGGGAAACGAAAAGCATCCTCACAGCCCTGGCCTCAACCCGCTGGACTACTGGTTTTGGGGAGCCTGCAAGGACAGCGTCTATCGCAACAAGCCCGGTAACCTGGAGGAGCTGCGTCTCAGCGTCGAGCAGTACGTGCGTGAAGTGCCAGCAGACACCGCGGAGAGGGTGGGCACCAGCTTCCTGGAGCACGTTCAGACGTGCCTTGAGCGTTGAGGTGCCCACTTCGAGCACATGCGCAAACATAAAAGACGCACATATCCCATTTTTGAAATGGTGATGGCAA